TGTGAGCCATATACCCTTTCATTGTGCCCATTAGGTAGGAGCACTCCAATCCTGCTCCCTCTTCTTTCCTCCCCCCAACTTGAATTAAATTAAGTTTTTCTCTTGTGTAGGCATGTATTAGTTCATCTACTGGCTTCATGTTAGTATTGAGTACATTGGATACTTGTTTTCCATTCTTGTGATACTTTACTAAAGAGAATGTTCTCCAACTCTATCCAGGTTAATATGAAAGATGGAAATTCTCTGTCTTTTTATGGCTGAATAGTATTCCATGGCATACATTTACCAGTTAATTCATTCATTCATGTGTTGATGGGCATTTGGGTTGTTTTCACATCTTGGCAATTATAAATTGAGCTGCAATAAACAATCTAGTGCAAACATCCTTATGATAAAATGATTTTTTTCTTATGGGTAGATGCCTGGTAATGGGATTATGGAATCAAATGGAGGGTTGAGTTCTTTGAGGATTCTCCATACTTCTTTCCAAAGAAACTGTGTTGGTTTGCAATCCCACCAACAGTGTAAAAGTGTTCCCTTCTGTCCACACCCATACCAGCACAGAAGATTCTTTGGGCAATGTAAATACTCTGTATGATAATATAATGGGCAATACTTGTACAAATGCATAGAATATATACATCAATAGTAAACCCTATTGTAAACTATGGAATGTGGGTGGTTATGATACATCAATGTAGGTTTATCAACTGTAACACATGTAGGACTTTGGTAAGGGATGTTTATAATCGGGGAAGCTATGCATTTGTGGGACAAGCAACATGTGGGAAATTTCTGTACCTTACTCTTAATTTTGCTGTGCGACCACAACTGCCCTAAAAAGAAAATCAAGCCTTTAATAATATTTTTTAAAAAAGATTGCCATGCCAGCTTAGCCCCATGTTACAATCAGCCCAGTGGCCCTGTGAGACATTTTCTAGAATAATGTAATGCAGCTTCAAAACTCTACTATAGCATAAAAGTACACTATTTTTAATAGTTGGTTCTTTCTTATATATTTCTTATTTTCTTAAACTACAAAATCTTCCGACTAGTTTTAAATTATTTTTACATTTCTTTATGAAAAACTTGCCAGTGCCCATAGCTCAACGAGTAGGACACTGGCCACATACACCAAGGCTGGCGGCTCGAATCCAGCCAGGGCCAGGTAAAACAACAATGAAAACTGAAACAACAAAAAAATAGCCAGGTGTTGTGATGGGCACTCGTAGTCTCAGCTACTTCGGAGGCTGAGGCAAAAGACTTGCTTAAGCCCAAGAATTTGAGGTTGCTGTGAGCTATGATGCCACTACACCCTATCCAGGGCGACAGCTTGAGACTCAGTCTCAAAAAAAAAAAAAAAGTGTAGCTCTCATTCAATAAGACACTGAGTCTCTTATTAAAACCTTTGACAATTGGGGGTTTTAAGCATTTTTATTGAGGGTGAATATATATAACATAAATATAGATAACATAAAATTTGTCATTTTAACCATTATTAAGTGTACAAGTTAGTAGCATTAATTACCTGCATAATGTTGTACAACCATCATCTCTTATTTCCAAAACTTTGTCATAATCCCAAAGAGAAACTCTTGTAACCATTGAGCAGTAATTTCTGATTTCCTTCCCCTTCCATTCCCTGGTCACCTCTAATTTTTCTTTTTTTTTTTTTAATTAAATCATAGCTGTGTACATTAATACTATCATGGGGTACAGAGTGCTGTTTCTAAATACAATTTTAAATACTTTCATCCAACTGGTT